ATGATTGAGAGGTGTAGGCCGGGCCATTGTCGGTTTTCACGGTTTTGGGGATGCCGAGAATTGATATGGTTTTTTGTGTGTTTTTTGACATCTCGAGCCTTTTATCCTGATTGGGCTGTTGCTGCAATAGCACCAGAAAATGTGTCGATAGACACATGAATGTACTTTCATTTCCCAAATGGTGCATAATGTGTTATGTCTGACTACCAGATGTCCAGTGGATTAATTTCATGAGGATTTACTCCCTCTGATGGTAGGGGAGTAAGTCTTTGGCAATTTGGGCATGCAGAGATGATGGTTCTAGCTTCAGACAGTGTGAGGTTGAATGTTTTTGTGAGGGATTTTATGTTCTGATGAAAGAAGCTGTGGGACAGTTTTGCTTTTTCAAAATTATTTGGGACCACTGCAGTTTGTGCCAGGTGTCCTGTGTCAGCTATTTCATCTCTGACATGGTTTCCTTCTGCAATGGGCCCTGGGAGGGAAGTGTGAGAGCGGATGTGGATTATATGGAATTTGTGTCTGCTCTGACTAATTTCATAACATAGTGTCTTGAATATGTGAGGTAATTGTAATTGGGAGAGGTCCTTTATGTAAGAGTTTTCAATTTGTCGGACCACTCCAACCACATAAGCTGAATCAGAAACAATATTCAAAGGCTCTGGAAACAGTTGAAATGCGCGTATGACTGCAGAGAGCTCCGCTATCTGAGAGGAACCTCTTACCTTGTGCATGTCAAATACCCACTTCCCTGCCTTTTGCCAGGTGACTACTGCGTTAGACGTCCTACCAGATCCGTCTGTAAAAACAGTTCTAGCATTCATTAGTGGGAAAGGTGAAGAATTATTTGTTAGCTCTGGTTGGGTGAGAGCTAGTAGCTGTAGAAAAGGGATAGGTGGGAGGTGTACTGAAAATTGACCCTTAAAATGAGCAATAGCTAATTGGAAATCGTCACTGTGAATTAACAACTGGGTTAGCTGACAGTAAACAGGGGAACATATATGACTTCTGGGTCCCTTCCCAAAAGTTCCCACAGCCGCAGTCTGCTTTTGTGACACACCTTGGAGAGCATTTCAGGATGTGTTGTAATCGATTTAGAAAATTGAAAGCTTAGAAAAACACATTCCCATAACAGAAAGTTCTTGCTTTTCAGATCTAATTGTCCTAGAACAGCATAGGGCTGCTTGATACCCTTAAAAATTACTAATACCACCAGTAACCCACACACTCTTCACTTAGTCTGACATGCACTCAGTCTTTGATTTATGTCCTGTAACACTGCTTGGGCTTCTGGTGTCAGGTGTCAAGGGGATGTCAGGTCCACCTCCCTTTTCAGAAGTTGGAATAGTGGTTTTAAAGAGTCTGTTGTTATACCTAGGAGAGGTCTAACCCAATTAATTAAACCTAGCAAGGATAGTAAGTCATTTAAGGTGTGGATGTTGGAAGGTAAGGCAACAGTCTGAGGTTGAATCGTGGTGTTATTGATGTGAAATCCAAGGTACTTCCATGGCATTGTCATTTGTTCTTTTTCCGGTGCAACCTCAAGGCCGTGTCTTAACAGAGCAGCTTTCACAATCAAATGAAGTTGTGCGAGTTGCTCCTTGGATTCAGCAGCCAGTAGGATGTCATCTGTGTAGTGGTACAGGATGGTCTGGGGAAACTGCCGACAAATTGGAGACAAGACCTCTGTGATGACTCTTTGGCACACAGAGGAGCTATTTCTCATTCCTTGAGGCAGGATGGTCCAGTGATAGCATCAAGATGGTTCTGCTGCATTGATGGAGGGTACTGTGAACGCAAACCTACAAGAGTCTTTAGGGTGTAAAGCGATGTTAAAGAAACAGTCTTTGATGTCTATAATAATGATGGGCCATTCTGAGGGTATCATTGTGCGTGATGGGAGTCCAGGCTGGAGAGCTCCTGTGGGCTCTATGATTTTAGAGACTGCAGCTGACCAATGGCCTCTAAACTAAATTTGACGTGGTTAGGTGGATTCCCCATTGCCCTATAATATCCCTTCCCCAAAGAGTTATTGGAATATTAAGGACGTAGGGCCTTGTAGAGGCTGTTTTACCTTCAGGACCTTCAATCAATAGTGTGCAGGCACTTTGGAGTGGTGACTGGGCTCCTCCTACTCCTTTGATGTTGATGCAAGGCTGTGCTAAGCAATAGGTCGAATCCCGCGCTGAGTTGCAGGATACCGTTTGAGTGGGAAGCCGTCACTGCTTCGTCACTTGAGCCCGGAGATCTACACGGTAGAAAATTCCACGTAGGTCTCAATCTAATGGTGGGCGCCAATTAACGGATCTGGTTGCGGACTCTGCTGGTTTTCCCAGAGTGGAGCTCAGCCGCGCTGTCCCCCTTTGGCAGGAGGAAAGAGAGGCCAAGCTTCCCCGGGTGTTCCGTGGCAGAAAGGACCTTTAATATTAAACTTGCACAGTTCATATGGGTTCGGGGGGAGGGCAAGAAGGGGAGGGCAAGAAGGAGGGCTGTGATTGGGTCTAGGTACGGGGGGAGAGGAGTGGCTTGAGAGCCCACTGACCAATGGGAGATACAGGAGGACCACGTTCCAGTAACCGAGACAGGGATTTGGGGAGAGGCAGGTGCAACAAGATCCACGATCGGGAGGAGGGGGAGACCGCATGGTTCCAAGTGTGGGGGGGGGTGGCGCATGGACCGGGGGAAGTACATAACTCAGGGAAAATGTGTACAATAAAAACGCAAATAGTTGTTTTTCTGCTTCGCTCGGTCCCAGGAAGCTGCTGCTGTAATGGGCCTGTTTCTAAAGCTGTTCTTTCCAGGTCTCGTAATCCCGCCCTTCACCCACAGCTTTTCATTGAGTTTTTCTGTTCCCATAGCTGACAAGAATTCTTAGCCCACAATAAAACTAATAAACATGGTGTAAGGAGAGGAGGACCAGAAGGTCCATCTGTCCTCTGTAATTTTGAAGATTCCACATACTTTAATATGGCCTCTGGCATTTGTATGGGAAGACACTTGAAACAGGGTACTGCTTTGATGCTAGTAACAAAATAGTTGTACTGTGCAAGTATGAAAGAGTAAAAATTCATTCTTGCTGTCTAGTAGATATCACCCTCCCCCCACCTTGCTTTCCTCCTCTTCTTGAGAAACGGAAGGCAGCTAACACATTCTTCCTGTCAGAAAAGGCAGAGCAAATGGAACATGTAATTTAACCAGGCACAGACTAAGTAAAACAGTTTCCTAAAACACAAATCTGAAAAAAGATTACAGAAACATGGGAATACACAGTGGTAGTGATGATGTGTTATTGACAGAATAAGTCAGGTTCTTACTTGTGTACTAGAAAAATCCCCCAAACTTTAAATCTAGCTAAAATTAGTTATTTGAAAATTATTTGTTAGCAGATGATATTCATAGAATTAGCTAATAAAACTGAGTGTTTTCTAAAACTTTTAGTTGTTATAATTATTTTTATTAAATTTCTTAACACTGTTCTTTGGAGAGTAAAAAAACCCGCCTGTCCAGTCATATTGTCGTGTGCACATTTTTCTTTGTTTGTTTTGTGTGTGTGTGTGTGTGTGTGTGTGTTACAGTTAGATTAAGAGCAGCTGCACTCCTCTGTTGTGTCTCTTTGTGCAAGTTTCAAGCTGGCTTCCCGCCAAGTCTCCGAAACTCAACAACAGAGCCTGTTTCCCAAAGAGGGAAGAAAAACCAAACAGCCAAAGCTATAGCAATAATATATATTTTACATATAAAACAGATATATACAGTGAGAATACTATATACCTTAAACCCCAGAAACCCCAAATAGCTTCCTAAAAGGGAAGAGGGGAAGGGAAAAGGGAAAAAAGGACAAAAAAAGGATGAAAAGGGACAGAAGCAAAACAGGTATGCACAATCTAAAAATCTGGTAGCCAGCAAAATAAAGAACTGGCAAAATCTCACCACTTCCCTTGAGAGAAGCAGGACGGCTGGACGCGGCCCAGCACTCTCCCCCTCGCACGTGGCAGACAACAGCAGTCACTGCTGGCCTCAGCTCCAGATAAGCAAGACCGAGACAGGGACCCACCGTTCTCGAACCTTGCTGGAAAGGAAGAGAGCGAGCTCTCTTATCTGTGCCTTATTTATACCCCAGGTTACGTAAAGGAATAGCATGGAATACTTCCTGGTTCAGTCACCTTCCTAGTTCCTTCCTGGTCACAAGCTGGTCTCCAGGAAGGCCTAGGGTGAAAACTATCACACTCTTCTTAAATTCCTCCTTCTGAGTTTTTCTCTTCTGGTTAGTTCTTAAATATTTATCTCATTGACAAGATCTGTTGCTTACCACTGCTTAACCTTACTTGGATAAAGCCCATTATCAAGTTTAAACCTGTTTTAAAGCTGTAGAGAGATTATCTTGTCCAGCTCCAGCTGTGCATATTGATGGCTGTGTAGCTTCTAGCTGTTAGTCAGTACCATGATTGTCCAGTTTGTCCCTAGATCTGCCCATGGAGCAATTTGTGAATGCTCCTGAGTCTTTCAGGCAAAACTGACCAAAGAAGCAGTTTTGTTAGGATGACTTCCACTTAAGCAAGTGCAAGTGATTTTACTTGTAGTGAATTAGGAAGAACAAAGGCTTTTGGCATAGGTACAGACTTCTGACAGGACTATTTTTAGCATAGCTGTTTGCAGAGGGAGCATCTGTTTAATACTTTTTTGGATGAAAATATTTTGTCACCTCTTTGGGGTTCAGATATGTGTTTGTATTGATGGGGAGAATTGAGAGCTTGGGCACAGTGATAAGTTTTGAGAATTGGTCTAGTAAGAAAAGAAGAGCTAAGCCATAAACATCACTTAAATAAGTAAAGGGGGCACACTTGTGTAGCATGGATAAAGTGTTAAGCATATAAACTGTTTTTGAAAAGGTAGATTCTGAAAACAATAAAATTGCTATAAAAGACCTTCAATGTTATATAAGGAAAAGCTATGTTTTCATTTTGTGTTTATATGTACAGTTCGAGTAAACTAAGAATCTTTTTTAGGGCATCCAAGATGGATCTCAAGTGTGCTCTGGAAGAATGTTCAATGGCACTGAACTTATTTCTAAACAATAAGTTCTCCGAAGCACTGGAACTACTTCGTCCGTGGTGAGGTCCTGTTTTTTGCTGAAGTTACTGTAAACAAATAGCGTAAAGTATGCTATCTAGTACCTGAAGATTATTTAAGGCCTCTGAAGATAGTGGTTTTCATTTTGTCCAAAAGCATTTATCCATATATTGGGGTTTTAGCAGTGTGCTTGTCTCCCTAAGGCCATCTCAAAACCTGTTGATGAACCACTGAATTGTTCTGTTAATCATTCGAACTGTCTTTCCGCATGTGAAGGGGGAAAGCAGGGAAGCAAGACCTTATCCAATGTATCTTTGATTAGAGAATTTGTACAGTGGAACTGCTTTTGACAAGAGGGAAAATTTGGAACAAAACTCTAGAATACTCTTTTTGTTGTTTTTTATATTACGTTTGAGTCACACATTTAAAGCACATCTTTTGATCTTCTGACTAATTCTGCTTGTTTCCCTGTTGCCTTTCCTCCACTGAGAAGAAAAGCATGGCAGTGCAGATGTAAGGAATTAAAGAATACGAAGAGGTTCATAGGGCAAATCTAGCTTATCTGTGACTTTGTGGGGAGGCAGTCTGGGTGGCTGATCTTCAGGACTGGGATCTGAATCCCATTCACTATTCTTCTCTTACCTGTGTCTCAAAGATACGTATGATATTGAGAGATGTTTTGGCAAGAGGGATCTGTAGCCTGTGTTAGTAGAGCTAGGTAAGGTTCTTGCTCTGCAGTTTAGTGCTAGTAAGAATGGATTAAGATGGGTTGGAGTTATATGGATGAGTTCAAGAATAGCATTAAATGAAACTTCAGAAGGATGACACAACTATCAAGTGTTTGCTTTTAGTAATATGGAGAGCTCTCATACTTTGGAGGGCTTTTAAAATTAGCTATACTTACTCTCCAACTCTCTTCTCTGAGCATTGTATAGTGTTATTTGAAATAGAGAAATGCTTTGAGAAGGCCCACCTGCACTTGCGTGTATGCTAAAACTATTTTTAGGTAATATTGCAAAATAATAAGTTCTACCTGCAAGGATTGTGCGTGAGTGTATTGCTAAATACACGCATACACATATTGCCAAAATGTTTTTTGTGCATTTGATATATATTTCATTTTGCATTGTAAAACAAAAAAAAACACCTTATTTTGTCATGGTGTTTTTATGTAGAGCAAATTGTTTGTTTGTAGTTGATGTTTGCTAATAAACTTTGAGCTTATTATATAGCACATTGCAAATGCTGACCTATTGCAAAAAACAAAAAAAGTTGCCTACTAAAAAGATAACCTGATTGTTTTATTGAAAAACAATTTAACTTTTATTGAAAGTTAAACTTAAGTCCTAAAAAAAAATTTTAGGATAAGTGTTGATAGATTTAAGAAATAAAGACTTAGCCCAAAGGTCATCTTTCTTGACTCTGCTCAGGATTTCTGTCTTCAAAACTACGTTTGGTAGTTGGCTCCTTGATTTAGAAGGAAGAAAAAATGTTAGGGAAACTAGAGATCATCCAACAAAGAACTAGAGCCTATCTAGAAGACTAGAGCGAATGATTTATTCAGAAGGGTTTGTTTTAGTTTGACAGAAAGGAGACTTGGCCATTAATCCAGTAGTGGTCTGAATCTGTTGAAGGGAAGTTGCAAAGACAGAGGCACCATTCTCCATAGTATCAGATGGTAAAACAAGAGTCAGTCACCACAAGTTGAGACTGAGGAGGTTCAAACTGGTCACTGGCTAGTACAGTACCGGAGAGGCTGCCAAAGGAGTATGCAGTCTTCATTTACTTGAGCTTCTTGAAACTTGGTTAGGTTAGCCTGACATGATGTTAGCAATAGTGCTGTTTGTTGCACTTAGTATGTTTTAGTATTTGACGTCTGTAGGCACTTTCCAACAATTTTTTTTTTGGAATGGTATAATTTATGTTGTGAAAGCCAGACTAGTTCAGTGTAGTCTTTTATGTAAAACTGAGCATTTGTGTACTGACATTTCTATGACACAAATACAGATTTTTGTCTTTGGATCACATAGTAATGTTAGAGGGAGGTTCTTACTTACGTCGAGTGAAAGCATACAAACGAGTATTTATGTCAAGGCTTAGTTAACTAAATTAAAAAGATATACCAGCAGACTATAAATGGTATTTAATTAAGTGCAAATGTTTGTGTAACTCATGTGGGACATTTTTTGGAACTTCTTGTGACGGCAGACTTGTAGCACCCAATGGAAAATGATACTTGCTTTCTTGCTAGTTTATGTTCTCATGTCCATTACTTCCCTGCTTCATTCTTCTGTCTTTTCACAAATCAATGCAAGTGTCTCTGCATTTAGTTTTGTATTGTAATGTAAAGTGTTGCTTAAATGCACAAGATTTATGTTTTCCCTAGGTCCAAAGATAGCATGTACCATGCACTTGGATACAGCACTATTTTAGTTATGCAAGCTGCTATGACCTTTGAACAGCAGGATATACAAATGGGAATTTCTACAATGAAGGAGGCTTTGCAAACCTGCCAAAGGTATGCCCAAGCACTGAACATTTATGAGATACTTAATCCACTAAGTGTTCTTTGTAAGGTACCCCAGCTCTCTCTATGCTTTTAAAACTGATTCCTATCAGTATGATAGTGACCTAAATTTGTAAAGGTGGAGTAAGTCCTACTACACAGTTATTACTGGTGAGGATATTTTTCCACAGAGTATGGTGGAAACAACAGACTTGTTGTGGCTGGATATTAATAGCTGCTAAAGTTAAATGGTTGGTTGACTTTGTAGACCTACCCGTAAGCAGACATTACATGGCTTGTAAAAGCTGAAGTGTTTGACAAGGCTCTGACAAAAATAGAAATTAATTCTACTGTACTGGTTCTTCATCAAATTGGTTAGGCCATAATTTATTAAAAATGGTCTCCGAGGATAAGACTGCCACATGTCAGTTTAGATGTTTAACATCATCATCTTAGCAATGACAAAAAAGAAAAGGAAATAGGATGAAATTATCAGATACTATCTGAAGAAAATAAAAGATTAGCAGTTTCTGCATCTTTTTCAGATGTGCTATCAATTTGCAGTTTCATCTGAATTGGTTGTTTAGTATGTCTGAAGATTAGATGCTCCTGTAGTTTAGACAGCTTCCTACAGGATTTCATCTCTGCAGGATATGAACTCTAATGCATAAGTACTCTGGTCTAGTCTGTCGCAAAACTCATAAAAATGCAAGACAGAGGCAATCAAACATTCACATGTGAAGAGTTGCCAGAACTACATGTTCCCTGACTCTTTTCTTGTATTTATTATGTTAACCTGTAGTGTCATAATCTTGTTGTCAGGATCTTGCGCTTGTCAATGTGCAGAATAGTGTAAACAAATGATAAGCTAATGCTTAGTGTTTATAATCAGTGACTCCCTGGCTTACAAAATGCACTCCTTTTCTGAATGTAGAATTGTTTCTTTAGCTTCTTCATAAAGCGAGTTGTCTGTAAATAGTTAACAAACTAATTTTTGGAATTATAATGTACAGTTGAGATCCTTTGGAAGTAAAATATGTGATTATTTTGGTATTTTATCTGGCATAAACCACCATTAAATACTGTAGCATTTATGTTGAAAAAAAGAGCACCATTTGATTTTTTTTATTCCAATTCTGTGTGCAAGTTTAAGAAACAGAAAAAAGCAATTTGTGAAACTTAGAAGTCCTGTTCAGGTGTCTTGCTCAGCATCAGAGACTTCCACCCACTCTTCTGCAGCTGGTGGGTGGAAGTGAGGTTGAAGCTATTATACACTTAAAGCAGGTTAATTGATGCTGTGAGCATGCATTTAAGGTTGGATGGGCTTATGAGCCTAGAAGCATAAAAGTGTTTAGACTTCTCAAAGAATTGAAACTGTTGGTAATTTCTATTAATTTTAGTTGGAAATGGTTAAGAATTCCAATAATTAAGGTCAGTTTTGTGTTGAAATATGTGGGTTTCTTTTCTTCCATGCACAAATGATTTAGATTCAGGAAAAGAAGCACAGTGGTGGAATCTTTGTCCAATCTAGTTTTGAAACAGTCAGTGGATCAGTTGAGTGAAGGTAAGTGGTTTATAACACAGTTAAAATTAAAAAGGGAAAAACTCAAAACTACCTTACCAATGCGTGACTCTGTAACTTGACCAGTGTCTTACAGTAACAAATAAACGTACAAACCACCTATGTGGTCATCTTCTTAAATTTGAACATAAAGCTTCTCAAAGTGGGGAATTCAGCCTAATTTTTTTTTTTGGCTCTGAGCATGCATGAATCAAGGAAGGAATGCCTTTCACAACACATTATAGGACAGCTCCCAAAAGTTTAAGAATCATTGATGCAGTGGAATACGTCCTTATCATTAGTTGCATTGGAATCTGAATATATTAACAAGTTTTGTGCTTGTCTGTTTTGCCTTAAGGTGTTTTGGGAAATGGTATCAGTACATTGTTCATGGCTCTGAAAATGCTGATCTCCTATTTCTGATTCAGGCAGAATCAAGTATGCATTTTTTTCTAACCTGGCACAAGAATCCTCTTTAATACTTGGACACATCAAACTCACCACGTATGCACTGTACATACAGCAGCCTTGTGCATGTGGCTGGTCTTGCAGCATGGGTGCAGAGTAACTCGTGTCATGTGTGTTAAATCAAGTGTACTTTAGTGCTGCATGAAGACAGAAAGTCTGCCTGGGGCTTTCAGTTTGTTGAGCATGACTTGGTGAAAACCTGTTCATAATGTCTTACTAGATGTAGGAAAAGTCTGAACCTCAGTGAGGGTTACCATTATCCTGAAAAAGTTTCTTCTAAGATGTGGAAGGAGGGTTGGAAGACTTAGTTGCTGTAGGCTGTTAAGCTTAGGATCAATGAAAAGTACAGGAGACAATCTACCAGAATGACAAGTAACTTTTACCATAGACCAAAGTCAGCTCTGTCAAGTTCAAAGTTTTTGTCTGAGAAGAAGGGTTTGTGTATTACAGCTACTATTCAGCAGTTATCGAAATGGCAACAGCAGAATCTTGCCTTTTTTTTTTTTTCCTTGTCTTGGCAGCATTTTATTTGTTCCATTGACCCCAAGAAGAAAATGCTGACAGTAATTTTGCTGATACTAAATAACTTTTCTTTCTTATATAGAGGAAATGCATGCTGAAATCTGCTATGCTGAATGCTTATTACAGAAAGCAGCTCTCACCTTTGTACAGGTAAAGTCAATTTTTGATTTTGTATCTCTGTGTAGCAGTGTACTGGAGAGAGATTAGTATTTGTATAATGTCATTCCAACACTAGATATGCTATTTAAAAACCAAACTTTTTGCTAATGAATGTTATTTCATGGCAGTGATTGGAAGTATGGTAAATGCTGTGCTACTCAGCAAAGCCCTCTCTTTGTTTATACGAATAACCAAAGGTGTTATTAATATCCAGGTACCAAGGTATCACCAAGGTATATTGTAGTGTTTATACAGGTGTTATGTTTAAATGACTTGCATCACACTGTACAGTGTCCAGTGCTTCTGTAAAAATATGTTCAAGTATGAGGAAGTGCCTTGTTTGAAAGTGCAAGTCTTTTCTTTGCACAAAAGGATAGAATGTTTCCCAACTAACAAAACTTTAGCTGATGCACACTTGTCATTTCCAATTCAGTCTTGCTCTCTATGCACTTTTGACATGGTGTCAGGAATAATATGGTAAGGAATGATTATAAAATGAGCATACTTTAGCATTGCTGAGCTAACAGTTCAGTCCACAGAAAGATCTGGTCTTTAATACAATCTGGTGCTACTGGTTTAGATTTTGGTTAAGGGACTTCATGCTACAGTGTTTTCAAATTTGATTTGAAATTTGATGGCTGAAAACAGGAGTTGTTAATCATAGTTTTTTTACATATGTGAATGTTTTACAAATTTATTGAATATATTTTAGATAATCCGATATAAATTATGCAAAAGGAGCAAGGCACTAAGATCAGATAAGTTCATTTGGCAGATATTTTTAAACCACTTAATACAGTACTTTGGCCAGAAGTGTCAGGAAATAGTATTAATGGAATGCCTATAACTGGCTTCCTGGCTTTCTCCTTTACCAACCAGATGGAAGCAACCCTTTTTATTTTTATTGTGTGGGTGAGGGTTTTTTAAGCACGAAAGGAATTTTCAAACAGTTGTTGAAGTAGATGACTTTAGGAAGGTATAAAATAAATTCTAAAACCCCTTAGATATGTATTTTCTCTAAAGCAGCAGCTCTCTATTGCTGCTAACTATAGTACCCCACTCTGCTGATTGTAGTCCTGCCCCATATGTTTCATCCTTCATCAAGGCTGACCTTGATTCCTCTGAGAACAATGATGAGAACAAAACTGTAACCACTCAGAAAGGCAGAACTAAAATGCTTGTACTAAAATACTTGCATTTGAGTGTTTAGACTTGCAGACAAAACAGATGAGGTCTTTTGAAACCCTTTTATGGAAGCCAGAATTTCCTTTAGTTGATGGTTCTAAGCCTTTTTTCTTTTTTAGTGCTTTTTCGTTTTCCATATCATATATGCTGTCCCTGAGTATTTAAATATGCATTTCTGAAATGCCTGCACATGTTCCCTTTCTGTGTGAATTCTAAGAGAAAAAATTACATCTTGTTGAACTGTTAGCTGTCTTGCTTTTCAGGTGTTGAGTTTTGATGGCTATTACATTGTGGCTTTGTTTTGCTTTTTCTAGAGATTAGTAAACACATATACTGGGTAGTACATGTGGTTTATGTTGATCAGCAATGGGACTTCATCTGTTCAGGGGATTCTTCGGTTTGTCTTTTTCCAGGTTCTGTGTGGGCTTGCTTGTGTGTGTGAGAGAATTGCCAGTTCGAAATTTTGTAAAAAGTTCCTACAGCACCATCTGGTGGAAAGCTTTCTCTATATGCATTGGAAATTCTGTTAAAAGTAACTCTTTGACTCTTTTTCACCTCCCTCTTAAGTTTTAAAATTTGTAACATGCGCCAGAGAAGTGTTTCCCTGACAACTTAAAGCAAGTGTTAACATTGGTCTTAGAAAAGAGTCTAGTAACTAAAAAGCATTTTTAATGTTTCCAGTGACTATTAAGTTACAAATGTGTGGAAGATACAAATAAAAGATGGAAGGTTTTTATGTATGTATTATGTGTGATTGCTGAATGCACTATTTTGTACAATTAAATTTTTTTCTTCTAGGATGAAAATATGATCAACTTTATCAAAGGTGGACTCAAAATTAGGACAAGTTACCAAATATACAAGTAAGCCATTAGAAAACACGTAGTTTCAACGTTGATATAAGCAGTTGGAGTGTCATTAATGCCCCCAAAATAAAACAAAATATTTTTATAGCAATCATATTGATTATATTCCATATAATTTCTAAGTCATGTTTCCCCTTTCCTTTTTTTTTGTGCATCAAAAGAGAATGTCATCAGGTGCTACAGATGACTCAGGGGAACAAAAGCAGAAATGAAACTTATTACCAGTTTGAAGGAGGAGTAAAACTTGGAATCGGAGCATTCAACTTGGTATGACTTCCTCACACTACAGAAAGGCTGTTGGGATAATTCTGTAGGAGTCTCTTTCTTTGCATATGCAGTACTTTAACTCTGTTTTAACATTTGCCCATTTGTAAAATGGAGATGCAAGCCTTGGAGGTTTTATGCAATAGGAAAATAGCAGAGACTTCTGGCATGCATGCTCTCTAGGATGTTTCTACTAGTTTCTTCTGAACTGTGTTTCATTCTGTTGAAGTAACTAATATATGTATTTCTGAAGTAGAAGCGCTGCTACTTAAGTCTACTTGTCTATAGCAGTAATTTTAAGATGCTTATGCTGTTGGTTACAGGATACCTGGAGTGACTGTTTATTTATAACTCCCCCATATATACCATTATTTTACTTCAGTGGTACTGTAGATTTGCATACATAATTACACTTAGAAGAATGAACAGTAGTTTACTGAGTTTGTACAAAAGAAGACTGTGAAGACTCTGTTTTCCTCACAATTTATTATGATTACCCTTTCACATCCATCATGGCAATGGTGAGAGTTGATTTCTGCCGGTATGTTCATCTCTTTATCATTCTGAACTGGAGCTGGCCAATTTTCAATATGGTCAGAAGAACTCAGGTCTATCTGCACCAGCCTTTAAAGTTCAAGCAACTAGTAGATGTCTGTTCATAAATGTTCTGACCTTTCCTATTGTTCACGTAGTCTCCTCAGTAGAAAGCTTAACAGGAGTCTCTGCTTGGCAGAATGTATTAAGGTGAATGGAGCTTTTAAAGTGGTATCTCCAAGTAGACCTTCTTGGAATGCTCATTGAAAATGTGGTTATGATCTTTTTAAGTTTTCTGTTGTGTAGGATGTAGAGAATGCATATTCTCTGAACAGGGGAACAAAAATGCATATGATAGAGGATTAAGGATGATAACAATAGGTAGTATTTCTAAAAGAGTTATGCTTACTGGTCTGCTAATTCGGTGCTGCCATGGTAGAAGCAAGTAGGATTTCCCTGATACCATTTTATTGGAAGTAAAGGAAGATGACAATTGTAGGTTGTAAGTACTACCAAAATAGATAATACTTTCATTCTGAGTGACACACAATTTTCAAACAATTCTGATCAGCTGAAGACAGAAAACTCTGTCATTATCTGAACAAACACAGCTGGTCTCTGTTGTGCTTTTTTCATGCTGGATGTTCATCTAAACTCTGAGCATGCATGTCCCCTTTCAAATTCTTTTGTGTTTTACTTTTTTTTTCTAATATGTAATAGCATGTAACATAGTAGCTGACCTTTTTGGTTCAAGTTTATAATGATTTTAACTTTTTTTGAAATGTATATGGTTTTATTTATCTTTTTTTTCTAATTTATTTCAGATGCTGTCACTTCTACCAGGAAGGATCCTTCGACTTTTAGAATTTATTGGATTTTCTGGCAATAGGGTATTTGATCTGATACTTGCCTTTTCAAATTAACCTTTTCTCAGATAAAGACTGGGTGGATTTAATGTCATGTATTTCACAGTAAAAGTATAATGATCCCTATTGCTTATCAGTCTTTTAGTGTTGTTAAAAAGACAAATGGACTAGATATTATGAGGCATAAAAGCACATAAGGTGATACCTGGCTCTTTAACAACCATGGGAAATGACCAGTCTGCTTCAGAGAGGATTTTTCAAATTGCAATTTTCTTTCCTTTTACTGATCTTTGAGTAGAGGACATAAGCCTTTTTTTCTAGTTGATTCAGTCAGAAATTAATGTTCTTCATACCAGTAACTGAGGGAAGAATCACAGTTCTACGTTTTTCCATCCAAAATCCCAGCCCATTCCTTTGGAAAAAAAATTTCTTAATATCATATGCCACCCTGAAGTCTAGGTACATCTTTTTCTCATGGATAAGCAAAGTATTTGTAACCATAGCCTCGTTTTCTAAACCTAGCCTTGTTTTGTACAGCTCTTTAAAACTTTTTGGTGCCCATAAGAAATTAAAAAAAAAAAGTAAAAGAACCCTGTCAAAACAACCCATAGAATTATACATAACTAAACTTCAAGTTATTAATGCTACAGAGCCACCATATGGTCTTATTCTGTTAGCTTGTCCACAACATGGCTCTCCTTTTGTAAAATTAGACTTCTGTAGAGACCTGTTCGTTTCTTCCTCTGAAAGACCTGGTTCACTCTGAAGCTCTTCCATAACATGTTTGCCCTAACTGAAAAGGCAGTAAAAGCTGAAAGGAAAAGAATAAACAAATTTGGAATATCACCATATTTTTTGTGTGGTACTTGCATTCTCCTTTAACTCATCAAGCTGCTATGCAATAGAACTGATATGTTAATATTTGTTTTGAGGCAAAATTTTTAAATTCTGATAAGTTTCTGAAGAGTTGCTTGCTCTTGAGCAGGGGAACTCTGAGCTTGTCTCTACACCCCCCAAGCAGTGAAGCTGTCATGTAATTGGCATAAACTGGAAAGCAGTGGAACAAGTCTCATGTGTTAGTGCTGAATAAGTCTCCATGAATCTGGATCTCTGTTTAGACATTGATGTATCAGCAGAGCTAGTATTTTGATCATAACCTCAAAATAGTGGCTGACTTGGTGGAAGAAAATGGAAGATAACCAGGGTTCTCTGTGAAGGAAGACTCACACCAAGAAGTTGCATTGGAACAGTTGGGAAAGGTTCTCACTGAACATAGACTTAAAGATGTTGTTCTGAAGGATCATAGCCATTAAAAAATGGGGAAGGGATGTAGACCTGTGTGTCTGCATGATTCATGTGGTGTTCTCATTTCACCATAGCACTGAAGTGCACAGGTAATTTTATTCAGAATTAGATTAGTCTTCTCCTTCTGAGTGCTGTTAGCTGTGACAGAATTGTTTTGGTAGTGGGGTTGTGTTGGATTTGCAATGATAAAGTGCTGAATTATGAATACTTATATATGAAAGGAAAGCTGGATTTTGGTTAGCCAGAAACAAAGTAGTAACTCTGTATACTGATAGTTAATTCTGCATGTGTTTGTGATATTTCTTAGGAGTTGGGCCTCTGCCAACTACGGGAAGGCGCATCTGGCAGCAGTTTGAGGGCCATTCTGTGTACTTTCACCCTGTTGGTTTATCATACTTACGTCTCCTTAATCCTTGGTGAGACCCACTGTGTAGCTTTTCAGTCATGCTACACCTTGTAATAGATATTGTGATTTAATTTTATAACTGAATTTCAAAATTGTGGAGATTGCTATGTATTTAATTATGATCTGAAATTAATATCCTTGACAAAGCTGTGTCTGCAGAAACAGTGCAGATAGATAACATTATACCAACATCTTGCTCCATTTGCAGGGCTGTCTCAACATGTGACAGCAAAATATTGCAAAACAGTTTTAAGCTAAGAGAAGTCATTATGCATAAATTAACATCAGATATTGTGAAAACTATGTCCAGAAAAAAAGCCTCTACACCCCAACAATTTACTTGGAAGTACATACATGTAGAGAAGTAATTGCTTTTGCCACATAGAGCTAAAAGTCATAATTAATTCTATGTGCTTTTTTGCCATATATTTTCATGTTCTTTCATTTTTAAGTATTTTAGTCCTTGTCCCTCAGGCTCATCAGGAAATTAAGGAGAACTTCATTGCTTTCCGTATCACTTGTACTTCATTACTGAGCTCAAAATTAGGAAAAGAGGCATCTGAGGAGTGTTTTCCTGGCTTGCTAAAGCAATTACAGGGATTTAAAAATATAACTAGAATCTATAATGGAACAGTTTAAAGAATATTCCTGTAATTCTAGTCTGTTTCTACTTACAGACATTTAGTATCTTAAAAGCACTTAGTACCTTTGGGACAAGAATTTAGTTTTATAGAAACACAGTATGATGAAATAATTCTGCTTTTTCATAAAAGCAGTAATCCACTGATCTATTGCAGTCATAATATAATTTGGAAAAAAATCTTATTCTATGAACTTGGATTTTTTATGTGCATTGAGTGAGGTTGGGTTTTTTGTGTTTTCTAGGTACAGGGGAAGCCAACCTTCAGGAAGCAGAAAGTCTTCTCGAACCCTACCTCCAGAAATTTCCAAATGTGTGTATTTTCAATAAATTTTGTAAGAGCAATGTAATTCCCTAAGCTTAAAATCCTAACTGGTTATTTTTTTCATCTCCTTTGAAGGGTTCCATTATTCTATTTTATGCTGCTAGAATAGATATACTGAAAGGAAATTTTGAAAAGGTAAATAAATTTTTTCTTTTTAAGGTTTTTGTTTGTTTAGTGTTCAGACTGAGGAGGAAAATTAACTAATTCATCTAAGTAGCTTCTTTTAGTTGAACTGATAACTATACTCAGTTCGTGTTCGCTGTCAATGTTGATTCCAGCCCTCTCTCTGTAAGTGAGACTGAAAGGGAGGTTTATCTCATTTTACTGTCAGGTGTTCTCCACTTGGGTGTTAACTAAGAATTTGCCCTGTGATTAGACATGGCTTTCACATGGAACTGTAATTGAGACAGTTTTCATCATTCTTACTTAACTACATTGTAGGCACAGTTAAGATTCCAAGACTGCATAGCAGCCCAGCAAGAGTGGAAACAGATTCATCATCTCTGTTACTGGGAATTGATGTGGTGCTACACCTTCCAGCAGGACTGGCTTCAAGCATATCGATATGCAGACCTGCTCAGCAGAGAGAGCAGGTGGTCTAAGGTAAATGGGCAGGTGGACATTGTTGTGATATACCAGTGGTCTTACAGTTAAATTTACTTTTCAGTTTGCAGAATAAGTGTAATTTTTGCCTTCTTGTAAAACTCATAAGTAAAGGCACAATGGAACCAAAATGGTAGATTTAACTGGGTGGCTAAGGAGGAATTTTTCTTTCACTTATTGAAGCACCAGAGCCATAAGCAGCAGTGTTTTGGCCTCTCCAAAAATGGAGGTGCTTACCAGAGCTGTGAAAAAGATGATGTATGGGAAAACTGTTAACTTGAATCTCAAGTCAAGTTCTAACACTCACTAGTAAAACTTGGCTGAAGAAACTGCATTTGTTGGTTAATTATAAACAAAGAGCATACCTACTCAGCAGATGCTTTGTGGCATGAGTAAGCTGCTGGAGACAGGGTCTCTTGAGGAAGTTGATGAATTATTGTTGTCTGTTCCTATCTAGACTACAGTTTTATTAGGCTTAATGAAAAAGGGTATACATCCAATTCATGACAAAAGAGGAAGAGAATAGTATGTTAAACAGGAAGTGCAAATGTCTTGAATAGAATTATGGATGTTTCTTTTTTTTTCTCTGGAAAACTCAGTTATTAAACTTTCCTTGAATCAGTACTCAGATATTTTCTTTTGGTTTTTTTCAGGTATGTCTCTACATGTAATAGATCATGTAGTAACACTAATGAACTTTAGAATAGTTATATCATTTAACCTCATCTCTTTAACAGTGGTTTGCATAATAAATTCTCCTGTTCTTTTCAGGAGACACCTTTAACTTTCTAACTTAAAATATTAATAAATACATTGAAAATAAAATTATAGCATAAATCATGTGACAAAGGGAATGCTAGACTTTATAGTTCACCATGCCTGAGAATTACTGGAAACACTTCGCTGCAGCAATTGGGGTGAGAGATTCGAGTCCTTAGTGTACTTACTGAAAACAGTGGGTTAGATGTGATAATATGTTGCTATTTCTTTTTGAAATAGGCAATATATGTATTCCAGAAGGCAGCAATTCTATGTATGCTTCCAGAGGATGATTTGAAGAGGACTGGTGAGGACATCGTGTCTTTATTCAGGTAAAAGTTTATAAAGCAACTAGATGTGCGGTCTTTTTCCCCCCATGTCTTCGTCTTGCATGACTTACTTCCTGCTTATAACCATAAACTTTTCAGTTTTTCTCTTTACTTTTAGCATCAGAATATTTAAAATGGTATTCAGCAAACACACATTCTATAACTGTGGTCTGAGTGATGTGGAACAATTTAAGATGTTAGACTTCAGGGCAAACAGTAAATCTTACTAAATGAAATGAGATTAAATAGAAGTTGCTTTTTGTAATTTTTGTTTTCTGTTTTCCCTTCTTGTAGACAAGTGGATGGTCTAAAACAGAGAATTGCAGGAAAATCTATCCCAACTGAGAAGTTTGCAGTGAGGAAAGCTCGACGCTATGCAAGTGCTCAACCAGTGAAGCTGATATTACCTGCCTTGGTATTTGTTCTTGCTTTGTTTTCATCCTTTTCAAACAGAAAAGAAAACAGTATATTTCATTATACGGGGTATTATGTGTCTGCATTTTATAATTTTTTTTTTTAAAGAAGTGCGGCATTCATGCAATGGAATTTTTGTGAAGTGTACTACAGACTGGATCATGCTACCAACTAGTAGTAGTCCAAAACCAGAGCCAGTTTTTTCACATGGAAGTTCAGTCTTGCAGAGAATTGGTTGCTGTTGCCACATAAGGCCAGAAGTCATCTTTCAGTTAGAAACCTGTGTTCATGTTATTAAGTTGGCAGGATTTAAGTCCTTGTCTTCTAGACTCATTAGGAAGTTAAGGAGTACTTCAGTACTTTCTATTCTTCTGATGAAAATGAAGAGTGATGGTTGGTTTTTGGTTTTTTTATCTTATATTGAGTCTGAGTAAAATGTGCAGAAGTTAAAGATACGTTACTAATGCTCTTCTAATTTTCCATATTTTCACTTCAGAGGCATTAGTATTCTGTTCGTATGTGCACAGCAATGATACTTTTCATATGTGTATACTGAAGTCTTTGTACATGCATAATTTACCAACAACTGTAGATGGAAAACATAATTTGAGGAGATTCTTACATTAAAGCTCATTGATATAGAAAGAGGAGTCCAAAGAAAATTTATCTAACAGTTCTAAATTACATTCTATACTAAATTGCATGTCAAGGACTAAGTAATAAAGTTGTCTTGGGTTTGTACAGCACAGTTCTTGGCAGTTGTGAGTATACATATGTTTGGTCTTGCCATCAAATCCAATATCTTTTAATTTAAGAACTTTTTTCATTATGGGTTTGACAGAACTAAGCATAGTGTATGGTTTATTGCAGTAAGCATAAATTAGACAGGACTGCAGAACTGAAACAAATCTACCACGATGTAGTTGATGGTGTCAATAACGCTGCTTTAGATTTTTATAGAGCCAGCTTTTTTTCTCCCTCTTAAAATGCACATATTTACAGCACACATACAAGTGCGAATATTTCAACAATGTATTGTATCAACTTCAGAATGACATTAGACTTCATATTTCAGAGGTGTAATTACAATTCAAATACAGTAGAACAAATTATACTCCTTTTTGTGATGACTGAGTAAAGATCTTGGCAAAGCTTCATGTTGGTTAGCACTGACTGTGTATTGTCTCATTCTCTTTAAGTTTTACAATGTGATAATGTATCAAAACAAGCATATTACTTACTCTTGTACTGAAGCATCTGGGAAGCTTTGTACCCAGGATTTGCCTTGGGGATTTTTTAATCAGTTTTGTAGAAATTATGTGTTGGATGTGCACACTGGAACCACATTTTTATCCAGAAAGTTGTATCTACTTCCAGTTTTTCTCTATGGAAGGTAACAGTGTACAGATTAGAGCATCTATATATTTATAAACACAGGAGTGTGTGTTCGGGTACATGTATATAAATGTATACATGCACACACTGAAATGCATACCAAATTCACCTATAACTACTTTCAGCTGTTTCTTTAGTTCCTATGGTAAAGGCCACAAATTAAACCTAAAATACACAATTTTACTGATGTGTTACTTGGGTGACAGTAATTTTTAAAGGTCTGTGAAAATACGTGACGGTAGAATCCATTAAAAAGGTATCAAAACATTCAAAACTTAGAAACCCAGGTTAACTTTGTCAACACACATTCAAAGTAATTTTTCCTCTCCTGTTTGTAGACCTTTTGTATTGTTTAAAGCAATTTCTGTGGTGGTTTTCTGTTCCAGAACAGTCTTGTCAGAGGTTCTCTTTAGTTAAATATTTATGCAATTTCATGATTTGTCTTATGGGTTTTTTTGTTTGGTGTTTTTTTTTCTTTTTTTTTTTTTGGTCAGGAAATGATGTATGTCTGGAATGGATTTGCAATTGTGGGCAAAAGATCAGACCTTACTGAAAACTTACTGGTAACAATTGAAAAAGAAGAAACTGCTCTACAAAATGAAACTAGTAAGTGATCAGTTAAGGTGGAATTAATAATCCATAAGAAATGCTGACATTTTTCTGTGCTTCTGTATAATAATATTCTGTGAGGTAAGTGTTGACTTGGGCAATGTGCCATTAAGTCTGGAGCCATGTGAAAGTTAGGAGTGGTTCTTCAATATGTTCTTTATGGGGCTGCATTGATGCTGCAGAAGAATACAGAAAACTCAAGAATGTGAGGTTATTGGTAACAGAACATGGGTGGTTCTTGCTAAGTTGTTCCAGTCTCTGAGTGTTCTTGGAGCATAGTCCACTAATTTCTTAAATGTCTGAAAAATACTTTTTCTAAGCCAATTTACATCACACTTAACTTTACTACAGAGGACACATACTGAGCAGAATATGACAGAGTATAAAAGATATGCTGAAGTGCTATGCATGAATGAGTTTGTTGGGGTTGTTTGGTTGGTTGTTTGGTTTTTTACTTTCTGGTAAAATAAAACATGATTGCTAATTGTAAAATAAAACATACTTAACAATTAAAATTTGACCATAGTTTTTTGCATCTTGATGTGTTTGCAGCATAGATGTTCAGGTTAACGTTTAGAGAATTAACCCATAGCTTACTCCTAAAAGAATTTAAATTCCATTATTTCAACAGGTTTAGTGCACAAGTACCTGGTTTTATCAGGTGGGTGCTGTCATCTGTCATGTGAAATTCTTGGTAGAATACTCCTTTGAGTTTTTCTAGAATGAATAAATGTTATCTTTTAAAATGATAACTCATTAATAATAATTTCTATTTAACCCAGATTTTAGTCACGCTTATCAACAATTTAGCAAGTTACTTTTACCACATGGTTAAAACATCAATTATGGTTCATAAAATATATCTAGGTATGATTTACAGTATAAACTGAGGTGATGCATAAAAAGTTATACAAGGACATACAAGAAATACATAGTGGTAAAGTCCTGATAGTATAATAAACCAAATGAGAGTAACTTGGAAGGCCATGATCGAATTGGGTCCCTTAACTTTTTTATGGTCTTTGCTTCTCTGCAGAATCAGTAGTGTCCCTCTTAAATCTCAAGTGGTTTGCCTTTTTTTTGCTGTTGTCATAATGAAACAAAAGTATAGTGATATGCAAGATATTTGCCAATAAAATAATGTTTCCTTGAGTTCTGCATGGAGGCTTCTGACAGAACCTCTTGGGAATCCAGTGCTGTATCATGCAGAGGCTTGTGCTATAAATACTGAACAGTTGTAATGGTAAAGTAAATGTCCTTTCAAATCCCTAAGTAGAGATGTATAAGGTACCAAAATAAAAGGACAGAAGTAAAACAATTGTTTTTCTTGTGGAAATACGCTGTTTGCAAATAGGATTTAATCTGTAAGCATGTATAATTTCTGTGTCTTTTTTTAGTAATAACTTCAGCCAAATATAGTTCTGTCCTGGACTTTGCTTATGTGACCCTGATTTGCTTTTAAAGATATGGACTCAGACAAGATAAAGACTCTAATTACCAGAATTGCTGCTGAATTAAGACCCAAAGCAAAAGTGATTAAGGCTATTAGCAGACCATGACAAGGTTACAATATTACTTTAAGAGACAGTTTTAAGTACTACATAGTGTGGAAGGATTGCTAAAGTGTTGTAAAAAAGTGTGTTGATTATGCACAAGGGTCATTTAGGGATTGAGACTTCTTAGACAGGGCTGTTTTTACTTCATTTGCTTCGCATGAACAGTCACAGCAAGGACTCTCTCAAGGATTGCAAGTAATTTTATGTTGTATAGAGCTGAAAATAGAGATGGTAGAAGGAACAGATGAAAGATATTAGAGATGTAGTTTTTTCATTTTTTCCCCTCAGGATTTCTTGAAATCTTATTTTTCCATTGTTGTAATTTCCAAAGTATAAAAAAGGAATATGTAACTCCAAGAAAAATTAAATAGTTTCTTGTTTAGTAATTTGGATAGTGATACTTCCTCTGGTGTAGAGGACCACAAGAAGATGGTTCTCCCAGGCTGATTGCTAGGTTGTCTGTGCTAAATCTGTGCATTTATTGTCGTTTACTGTTATTGTTTTGGCATATTAGCTTTTATTCTTTTGGGAAATACCAGGGAGATAGTAGTTGTAGTTGTTAAAGACTGGAGAGCCTTTACTGACATGAGTGCATGCCCTCAGTAATTTCAATGAATAAATCCTTCAGGAGACAGTCACATGAAGTCAGTACCTTAGCCTAGCAAAACAGGCTAGAGAGAATGGAAAGTACTTATCCGCTGTGCTTCTGCATGCCACTAAAAGCTCAGTGTGTGAGTTTCTATCTATTGAGACTTTCTAGGTTTAAACACAGACAGAAATAAGCCTGAATGTAGTGGTAAAGCACTTTGTTGAATCCTAAAATGTGTTAGTCTTGCATGTTTCAGAGCTGTTTACGTAGGATTTCTTTGGCAGACTATTAAGAAAAAAATTAACGTGACCTTAGGGAGCTGGTAATTAGTTGTAAAGAACATGATCTGAAGGGAGAATGTTTTGCTTCCTGAATTGTTAATGTATGTGCTGCCATCTGTCTATCCATATGTGTTTTCTTTCCTTTCTTTTCCCTCCTTGCACACAGCAAATGCTATGAACTAAGGGAACAAAAAAGGACCACACTTGTTAAGTAAATTTTGAATTGATTCAAAAACCTTCTTTCAACTGGTATTTTTAGTCTTATTGAAAGTAAACTTCATTGAATTTTTCAAATGTTATTCAATATAGAGTCTTCTTAATCATTAGAGATGATGGAATTACTATGGTTTCTTGAATTTGTACTGCAAAATAGTGCTTCTGAAAAGCTCTATAGGACAGAATCATAGTGTGATTTTGTGCTTTTTCGTGTTACTGGTGCTACTGGAGGTCTGCAAGTGCTCTGTAACAGGGGAAGCTATTAAGATAATGTGGTGGTTCCTATCTCACTGTAGGTTTAGATATTACAAGTACAGAAATCTTTAATGCCAATCTGTGCCTGTTTCTTGACTGTTTCAATTTCTTCTTATTCTTTGACTCTCTTTAAAGAGAAAGATGTGGATGTTTTGGACACATCTTCTTTAGTAGACAATATTTTAAATTATGCATGAAGATTTTGTAAATTTTGGGGTATAAAACATAAGAAACAACATCCTGAGTCTGAATACATATTCCCTACTGAAAATCTAATTTTCCTTTTCACAGTGTCTTATAATTGTTTGATATATCTTGCTTTTCCTGTTAGATCCCAATGAGTATTATGTGGATGATGTGTGCATGTTACAGCTACTGAAGGGCCTGTGCCTGAAACACTTGGGAAGACTCATGCAAGCTGAACTGTGTTTCAGTAAAGTAATTCAAAGGTAAAATAGTAACAGAAATAAACTTTAAATCTTTATATTTTAAAGCTTTTGGTGAAATTTCTGATACTCTTAGAAACTGTCAAGTTAGAATTTTGAATAATTAAATTTCAATATCCTTTTAAAGACCTGAAATTAAAATACCTCTGAAAGCAGTCAGAGAACCACAAAACTTTGCTAGTATTTTTCTGTAGCAATGTAGCATTTATATAGCTTTATATATGTTGTGTTTTAGACCACATAAATCAAACTGTTGGGTAACACATGCAAATGTATTTGGAATTGTACTTGCAGAACTATCAGTAAGTAAAGATAATTCACTTAGGTTTCCTGGGGTTTTTCTCAGGATTTAGTAGTTAATGCTTCCCCATGTAGATGAGAAGTTGTTGTTGCTACTTGTTTCAGCTGAAAACTTGATTTTCCTGTGTTACAGATTTATGAAATACTTTAGGTGTCAGATCCATGTCTCCTGTAATAACTTCTCATTGTAAAACATGAGTCATGTGCTGGTTGTAGTTGTAAACTTTTTATAGGTTTTAAAGTATTTGGGCTGAAAAAGCATTTTTACGTGAGCAATTTTTCTAACAAGTAATTTACAAAATTTAATACTTCAGGAGAATTTGTTATGTGTAATTGTATTGTATGTTTTAATTTTCTTGCCATTTTGTTCTCTTTTGCCATTTTTAAGATCCTGTGTGAGTTTAGTCAAACACTTTGCAAATTACAAAGCAGTGGGTTTTGACTGATTGCAAGTTAAAGGAATGGTATTTCTGGAAAATCTTGTTCCAAAGGTAGTTGGCAATGTGCAGACTTTTAGAGCTGAGATATTAAAAAAAAATTAAAGACAACAGTTCTTCATAAAGTGTTTGTTTTGCATGGGGAGGAGGAGAAAGTTCCTGGTAAATTAAATACATTTTGTTCAGCTTTACTTTCTACATGTCTAGGGCTGCTACAGTGCTTTAAGACTATTTATCACATCAGCAGTCCCCCTGCTCAAAGACATGCTTTCTGTTCATCAAGACTTGTCCTGATGGATGAGGTGCCTCTGTAGAAGTGCTGCTGAAAATATCGAGAGCTTTCCCAGTACTTGTTAAGAACTTTTTTGTTCTGCAGTATTGGTTGATGCTGTTCTGTCCTGGTAAGAATCAGATTTGCTTTTAAAAGGCACAGGAAAGGCCAAGATACATGATAATCTTCTTCACCTCATTCTCTAGTGGCAAGATCAGGAGTTTGAGATCCATGAAACCCATGGGGAAGTCTGGAACAAGGAAGAATTACCCTTGATGGAGGAGGGTCAGGTTAGGAGAAGTGTGAACAGACTAGGCATATGTATGTCCATGGCAACTGGGTGTATCTAAGTATATAGGACATTGGCATATATCCATGAGTGCTGAGGGAGCTGGCCAATGTCGTTGTGACACCATTATCTTTGGAAGGTCATGGCAATTAGGGGAAGCTCATGGAGAGCAGAAGGAAACAAATGTCACCTCTGTCTTCAAGAAGGGCAAGACGAAGGATCTGGGAAACCTCAGGCCAATCAAATTCTCATCAGTCCCTGGGAAGGTGGAGTAGTCAGGATGGATTTATGAAAGGGAAATAATACCTAACCATCCTTATAGTCTTCCACAATAAGATGAATGACTCAGTGGATGGTGGGTGTTCTTTATCTTGGCTTTAGAAAGGTTTTTAAGAGTCTCCTACAATGTCATCACAAAGAAACTGATGGAAATATCAACTAGATAAGTGGATGATGAGGTGGGTTGAAATCTGACTGAACTGCTGGTTTTGAAGGGCTGTGATAAGCAGCATGAAGTCACCAGTGGAGCAATGCAGAGTTCAGTGCTGGGGCCAGTAGTTTTTAGCATCATCATTAAGAAGCTGATGATGGAACAAAATGCAAGCTCAGCAAATGTGCTGTGGATACAAAGTGGGAGGAGTAATTGATAAGCCAGAAGGATATGCTGCCATTCAGAGCAACCTAGGCAGGTTGGAGGAATAGGCTACCAGTAATATCATGAAGTTCCACAATGGGAATCATTTCCAACCCCTGGGGAGCAATATCCCCATGCACCAGCACAGGCTGGGGGCTCACTGCTTGGAGAGCAGCTTGTCAGAAAATGACTCAGGGATCTGGGGTGTTATATTCCACCTGGAGCTGACCATGAGTCAGCAATGTGCCTTTGCAATGTAGTGTCCTGAGTTGCATTAGGAAGACTGTCCTCAGGAGGTCAGGGTGGTGATCCTCCTCCCATCTCAGCACTGGTGAGCCCACATCTGGAGTACCATCTCTGGACTTGGACTTACTTATAAGAGAGGCATGTACACACTAGAACAAGTCTAACAATGATGATTAAAGGATTGAAGCATTTGTCTTATAAGAAGAAGCTGAGAGAGCAGGGAGTGTTCAGCCTAGAGAAGAGAAGACCTAAAAAGAGTGCATAAGACTGAGGGAGAGAACTCTCTTCAGTGGTGCCCAGTGATGGAACAAGAGATAATGGGCAGGAACTAAAATATAGGAAATACTGTTTAAACATAAGGGGGTGGGTTTTGGTTGGTTTGTTTGTTTGTTTTAGTTTACTGTCAAGTTGGTCAAACACTGGCACAGGTTGCGCAGACTCCAGACTGGAGTCTCCATCCTTGAATATATTTGAAAGTCCTGGACAGTTTGCTGCTGTTGGCATTACTTTGAGCAGGGGATTGGACTGGATGATCTTCAGAGATGCCTTCAGTAATTCTGAAAATTTCTTGTATTGAAGAAAAGGTGAATTTTCTTACTTCTCTGCAATTTGTTCAGACAAGCTAGAGTAAAGCAGTCTTAATTCTGTGTGGAAATACAGTATTTGTATTATACTGCATAACCTAAAGAATGTTTTTATCTCAGGGTAGGGCTTTGAATGGTTGGGAGGTTTTTTTTAACTGTATGTCGCACAATAGGATCCTAGTCTTCTGTTTGTTGTAGCTTGGGTAACATACGACAGTACAAAAGTAAGGTAGGAAAGATAAATTTGTACTCCTAGAAGGTCACGTTGGCAGTATTTTACATCAACTGTGTAGAAGTATAATTACTGTGTACAGAGCTAACCAGTAAAAAAGGTTCCAGAGAGTTTTCTCTGGCTACACGCTCTTAGAGGCAGTGATTGCATTTAGAAGTTAACTGGTTGCTTGAGACAAGGTTGTAAGTAACCATTTCTGTATTTTTCTGGTTTCTAGTGAGAAGCAAATAAAATACGATAGTTACTTGGTGCCGTTCACCCTATATGAATTAGGTCTTCTGTACAAACAACAGGATGAGAGAGAAAAGGCAATAAGATACATAGAAACTGCAAAGTAAGTGGATTTATTTTCTTTATTACCCTGTAAATTAAGAATAGCTGAATATTTGTAACAATGAAGGCGTGTGTTTTTTTTCTTCCTGACAGCTTCTTTACAAAATACAACTCATTATAAATCCATGTTCTTGGTTTGGAGAACTTGTCCAGTATAGTTGAATTTTGCATTTTCATGAAACTCTCTCCTTCAGACACAGTGTAGAGAGAATCAAAAAAGACACAGTATGAAGGGAAAATATTTCCTCTTCATTTGGGCTTCAGAGATGCTGAAGCTCCACTGCATGCATGGGATGGAGCTGGAGAGTCCAGAGAAAGGATCTGTACAACTCTGTCCCAGAGAGCAACTGCGAGGCCTAAACCTGCTGCGCTAAAGGTGTTAGAGAAGTAGATTAAAAGCCAGTACGTGTCTGACCACACACCTTTTTGCTTTCACATCTTGTCACAGAAGAGCAGCTGAAGCTAAATTTACTGTAGGAGCAGCATGTTTGCATCATCTGTAGATTGTAGTATGGGGAAGAATGTCCCTTGTGTGTACAGAGAAGTTTACCAATCATGCAACGGTGTTTTAAATGTGAGTTAGAAACAAAAGCATTTTTAGAAACACAGTTTTTTGTCCAGTGCAGTTTGTATTTGCTTTTGGGGTTTTTTTGGGGGGAGAGGGTGTGGGATGGGGGGTACATTTACATAATGTGGTTTCTCTGTGTTTTATTACTCTGGCTGAGTTGTGCTTTGAGGCAGAACATACACTTTCAGTTAACAGCCTTACTTTTCTGTAGTATTTTGGCTTGTCTTTTTACAGCAAACTTCAGTAATTGGAAGGACTGTTAAAAGGATCAAAATAAGTGAAAGTGATCTAAGACATGGGTTCAGTTTATCAGGACATTTAATTTTTTTACTGATATAAGGCTTATCTGCTCAGTTTGTGGATGAAGCTTTCAATGTCTCGTAACTTGTATCTGTGTCAACCTCTGTTTCCTCTTGAAGGAATGAAGGCTGTTAACTTCGGTACTTCCTTGCGTGTGTGAAGTAGAAATAATCCAGTTTAAGCATCTTTTTGTTTAAATAACTTGTATGTTTTGCAGAAACAACTACAAAGAATACTCTATGGAGTCCAGGTTGCACTTCAGAATTCATGCAGCACTTGACAGCTTGAAGATGTCGCCTGCTTCAACACCTTGAATGAGGACGGATGCTTTTCATGCACACAATAAATAGCCTACACAATCTTTTTGCAATCTTTTTTTAATCATAGAAAAGAACATAATGATTGTTTTCTGTCATTTCTGATTTGATGTATATCATTCCCATAGACTTCTTTTTCTATGTAGCGCCTACACTGTGTCTACTTGCTATTTTAAAGAAGACCTTATATTTTGTTTGATAAAAATAATTTAATATTTGACTTAAATGGGGGATATTTTAAAAAAAAAAGATAGTGCAATAAAGTTTAATGCGAACACTATTTTTTTATATGAGAACAGATGCTGGTTATGCAGTGGAACTGGTAATAATTTAGCATTTTTTGAAAGTTTGATTTTCTGCAGTACACTTGAGACCTTTTTGCTTCTGGAATAAAAAAGCAGATAAGCTTACCCACATTTGGCACAAGCTATTGTGAAATTTGTGTTCCAGAGGAAAAAATTTGTCATCTTTGACTTATTTCGTTTTGGGAACAAAATGAACCTGTCTAAAGTGCAATATTTTTACATTGTCAGAGGATGCTAAGGAGGGCTACAGTTATAACATCTTTGTAGGTCTATTTCAGTCAAAATAAGTTCTTACAGGGGATATTTTCCAGTCATAGAAAAGCATGGCTATAAGTGACATTAAGAAATCGTTCTGTATCGTTTCTTTGAAGCAGAATCAACAGTCTTGAGTTGTTCCTGACAGACTTGTTTGACTTGTTTAACAATTAAAAAAAAAAAAAAAAGCTTGCTGAGTACATTCGTTTTGCAACTTACATAGGATGTTTTTCCTAGTGGGAAAAGACTGGGAAATTTTGCTTGGCGTCTATCCCAAATAATTCTTGGTACAACTGAAACTAGTTTTTTCCCATCTTTCCTGTCATAGACCTGGAGAAAGGATTGTTCTTTTCCTTTTTGAAGCAATCTTTTAATATATGAAGACTAGCACCCTTTTTGGTATACTCTGTTCTTGGATACCAACCAAAAAAAAAATAAATTGAGGAACATATATATTTTCCTAATTATGGGAATAACTCATATTAATGGAATTTAATTGTACATCAAAAAGGGAATCCACTTTTAAAATTGCAGTTAAGAAAATGCACATATTCTAATCTAATTTCTACCAAAAATATGTAGTAAAATCAAGATATTTATAAGAGCATGCATTTCTCTTTTCATTGTAATATGGGAATAGCAGTATCAAATTAAATTTCTGATTTCTTTAGATATGCAGATTCTATCTGTCTGTTTTTAAAAATAAGAATATATTTGATTTTAATTTAAGTGTACACCCAGTAACTGTTCTTTCACTAGTTACTGCAAAATTTGTCCATTTCCATATTTTATCAATGCCAGTATATTTACTTCTGCCTGTAAATTCATAGTAACTGTGCTCATGTATGTGATTCGCTGCCCTAAACTTGCATCTGAGAAAAAATGGGACAAAAGGAATAGGTGAAAAGTATATCTTTAGTAAATGAGTAACTGAAGTTCCTAATTAAACAGTCAATGTAATGTAAATGCAATCATTATTCTTCTCAAGTGACTGAGAGCACAGCTTTCTTCTATGACTTTATAAATAACTGGGTCATTTAATTGCTTATAATTCTGTAATACAGCGGCATACTTACAGGTCAAGTAAGGGTTTAAAAATATTACCTAAATAAACATAATGGATCTTTCAAAGTGGAAACCTGATCCAGAGTCTGTTTTCTTCACTGGTTTGGATTTGTGCCTACTGTAAATGTGTAACTATGTTATTGTGTAAAATTATACACCTGTAGGTGTGAAGCTAGAGATACCCGAGACACTGAATCACGGATAAAATAAGCATGCTTATTTTAAAATATATTCTACTGACTGTAGCTAAAGTACAAAACAGAGAGTAGCGTATGCTGCCGACTGACTTCTCTAATTATTTGTCCATTTATACATGTGATTGAAAGCTGTAGTCAGCATAAGCAGACAATAGTTTTAATACATCGATGGGCATTTACATGTGCAGTTTAGGATTACTTTGGCCTGATCCGATTATTGGATATTGGCAGTCAAATGAGACTACTTCAATTTCCTGTAGAAGGTGATGGAAACAATTGCAGGTAAAATTTCTGTAATCTGTATTTCAAATAGTACTTCACTCTACAGAAGAGTTAGAACTGGGACTACAGACTCTCAAGGTGGAGCATAAAGTAGTTTCTGATTTCTGGTTCTTGTGGGGAGTGTCTTCCAGTTAGTATTTCATTAGTGTTTCTTTGAAAGTTTAGTACAAAGCGTCATGTCACAGTGTACTTTTTTCCATGGGTAATGTCACTGACTGAAGGGAGACTGAAAAACAACTTTATTTTCTTCAGTTCAGCCTTCTGAAGTCAATATTATTGCCCTGTGTATGTTACACTTAATTTGTTAAGTACTATTTAGAGCTTGTCTCCTTTTCTGTGCTGTGGTTCCAAACTTTGTTAGAAAAATTGATTGATCAAGTTGCTTAACATTAAGCTTTATTCTGGACATTTTTTTTTCCAACTTACTAACAGTACGTGTGAGAGTGATTTTTAACCCTTCACTTGAAGTAGGTCTCCATAGAGCTGTAAGAGATGCTTGGTTTTCCAAACGCTGTAGAAGCACATCTCCCCTACACAGTATGTCATTGGTGCAGTGTTATTTAGGACATTATGTCTGAGTTAAGTGATCTGTGGCTAAGAGTTCAGACAAAAGGTCTGTGGGGTTTTTTGGTTTGTTGGTTCATTGTTTTTGTGGGGGGTTTTTGGTTGATTTTTTTTTTTTTTTAATCTACTGAGTACTATATTGGGCCTTAAATATAGCTCTGATTTAGTCTTAACTGCTCTTTATAATCTTCACCTCACTTGCTCATCTTCATGGGAATTTTGAATATTGTGCTGAGACTTTGAAACTGAGCAAAGCATTTTCCCTATCATGATATAGCCTTTCTCAATAATACTAAGAATTATAATATATACAAGAGCAAATTTAATTTGTTAGTTTAGGCAAGCAAGGCTAAACTTACACAGATAGGTTATGAGAAAAGGTCATTTACATCTTTTTGATAATAGATGTATTTTTTTTAAGGTAAGCAATAATAAATTAGCCTGGTTTTATGGCAAAGCTTCTCTTTGAATAAGAATTGCCTACTTAGAATCTACTACAAAAAACTTCTTGTCTGTGCATATCATTCAAATGTTAATCTGTTGGTGAAAGATCACTGTACAATGGTTTTTATGTCCTTGCTCATCAGTTTTTATCAAAAATTGGAAAAAAATGCATGTCAAAAGAAAGCTGATGCAAGATTGTTACGTAAATGTTCTAATACACAGTTGTGTAGCACTTTATGGCCAGAAAAATGTACAATGATCTTGTTTTGCTTCTAAAATGTCTTGCAAAGTAATGTGTAAAATAAGTAATTTCTTATCACAAATTCAACTTAGACTTTGCAATTATTTTATTACTAATCTTAATGTTTCATGTATTTTTGTTTCTGTATATTCTTACACAGCATAGTTCAACAAAGAATGTTTATATTTGCTCTGGTGCTGCAGTTTTTTTGCTTCTGAACTACTGAGGTTTGCACATGTTCATATCTGGTACTTGAGTAAATAACGAGATCAGAATAACAGAGGATGATGAATGAAGTATGTTCTGGTTTAAATGTAGAAATGTTCATTTTGATGCATTGGAATGGATTCTCACCTCAGAGGAATAAATCACATATTATGCTTGTGCTACCACGTGCTGAATTAGGCATTGTATTCTAGTTGCACATAAAGAACCTTCAGCTGAGATTTATCAAAGCAATATCAACAAAAAAGTTGAGTTTAAACATGCTGTATTGGGAGTAGTGTTCTCTTTATTTAACCTGTCTAGGCTGAGAGGTTGTACAAAGCTGTCAAGGTCTAGGAGGAAAGGAAGGGTCTTTTGAAATATAGATAGCAAATATAAAATAAGACACTTTAATCTTAATTTCTCACCAGTGATAAAATCATACCGTTAAATGCTATGAAATACAGGTCTGATTAATAATTGACTCACTCTATTATTAGTTACTTAATTAAATTCAGTGGGGGCTATACCTAATATACTTCTAGCATTCTTTTAAAATCCCGACATTAAAAAACTCTAAGCTATAATCATCTGATCAGCTCAACACTTGCACTTCCTGTGTTCCACCCATCACAAAGGTATCAGTGGTGTCGGGACCTTACCTTTGTTCATTTTGTTATGGGGTTTTTCTATTGTGTTGTGTTTTCTGCCTTTTTTTTTTTTTTTTTTTTGAATCTTCTTTTTTCATTGGTTGATTGGTTTTGTTTTGCTTTTCTTCTGGTGCTGATGTTTTGGGGGTTGTGGAGTTTTGGTGCTGGTTTTTTTTCCTGATTTTGCAATTTACTCAATTTTTAATAGGTCCTCTAGGACAGTTTCATAAAGAAATTTAAACATTGCAGTTGGTAGAAGAGTAGCCGCTAGGCTAAAAAAAATCAGAGTCTATGGTTAGTATAGCAAATTCAATGTTTAGTGAGTGCAAAATCAAATATTCTCCTTTTTGGAGAAGTGTAAGCATGCACTTTCAGTCTGTGGAGAAGCACATGTCAGCTAATAATCCTACCTAGGAATACCTTCCTAGATTTAGTCACTCATTTAAAGAAACAACTTCTTCAAACACATTAGCAGTAGGAGATGTCTTGTCCATGTCAGATCTTTTGTACCATGAAAATCATAGAGCATCCAAGCTGAGTGAGCCAGATTCACTACCCACCTCCCTGAGGCCATAGTATGAAGAATACTCAGTGTTGATGTCATGGGACTGTGTGGGAAAAATTAAGGTTTTACTAAAATCCCACTTGAAAGGTTAATGGTCTTATGTACTTGAGGATGTAAACGTGGTTCTCAAAACTCAATTTTCTTATTGTCAAGTGGATATAAGACTAAATAAGGAGAACTTTTTGGAGATGCCTAAATGACCTCTTCAGAATCTACAAGTCAGGGTGGAGTGATATGTAAAATTAGGTTAATGCTACTTATATAGCTTATGTTAGGCTTAACTTGTTCCAGAGCGTATGGAGATTTTCAGAATTAAACTTGATTGTAGAAGAGGGGGCAGTATGAGTTTAAATATGGCTTTATTTTCAATAAAATTTTGCTCAAGGTGATAGAACTTACATCTAGGCAAAACACAATGTCTGAAGAGGCTGAGGGACAGATACAAAACTTTCATTCATAACACCCAGCCCACCTTAATTAGATTTTTTATGTCTCTTTTTTTTATAATGTGCATTCTCAAGCCTTACTTGGAAAAGATGCTTGGCTTAAATCTTTCTCCAAATTCTAGTCACATCAATAAAATTGCTTCAAATCCATCTGTATTAGTTTTTACATAGGAACATTGCAAACTTCTCATTGTTGACAATGAGAAAATGATAGATGTTCTGCCACCTATTATTAATTGGTTTTATGCTCTGAAGAAAGTTTAAACTTGTTTTTTGTATAACACAAAATTCGAAATCAGTTTCTTTTCACAACCCAAATGGAAAGTATTCCTCCCATATTTTTCATTAATTTTATTATAGAATCACAGAATCATAGAATCGATTGGGTTGGAAAAGACCTCCGAGATCATCGAGTCCAACCCTTGGTCCAAATCCAGTCCATTTACTAGATCATGGCACTCAGTGCCACGTCCAATCTGCGTTTAAAAATCTCCAGGGATGGTGAATCCACCACCTCTCTGGGCAGCCCA